AAGAGAGAGCGGATTTTGTTTTGGGGAAAGTGAATTCCGAACCACTACACCAATTTGAGAAATGTTTTACTGTTACAAAGGTAAATTGTTCCATTATAATATAGTATATTTAAAATTAAAAAAGTTATAAGCACCCGGGCAAACTTGGTACTAGTTACACTAGTTTTATTTAAAAAAAATATATAAAAAAAAATGTTTACCTTTGTTACAGTAAAAAGACAATAACAAGATTGTTCACCGAATATAACAAGTAAACATATGATTATATTAAAAAATAAAACAGTATTTCTGTTAGTTTAGTATGGTCTGAAACTAAATTTGTTTAGTCAGACTTGAAATGTTAATATTGACCATTATCAATAAGTATAATGTGAAGTCATACACTGTATGTACGATTTAAAATTGTTAACTTTATAATGGGGCTTCTGATTATGTAACGTAATTGTTAATAATTGTCATTAGAAACATTAAAATGTATACTTTTAATTGACAGTTGCAGTTGCAAACAACTAGCAGATCTAGATTTCAGCTATTTGTTCAGTGTCGGATTAGCTCAATCGGAATAGAACTAGATTGATTATAAAGTCCCTATATCATTTTTGTATTAATAAAATTACAACGATTATAACAAAAAGTAACTTCAAATTAGACTCAAAACGAAACTGATGGCTGTAAGAAAAACATTGCTAGGCTCCGATTTGCCTTAATAAGGCGCTGTATCATTTACTATACAGCGTCGGATTAGCATAGTCGGAATTACTGCGGGACCTAAAGAATGGAACTAGATTGAAATAAAATTACAACGGGTCATATATATCATATAACAAAAAGTAACTTCAAATCGAACTGGAATCGAAATTGAAGGCCTTTTGAAAGAATTTTGTTATAGGCTCTGATTTGCCTTAATAGGGCGCTCTATCAATTACTGTATAGCGTCGAATTAACCTAGTCGGAATTGCAACGGGACCTAAAGAATGGAGCTAAATTGAAATAAAATTACACTAGGTCATAACAAAATGTAACTTCAAATCGAATCGAATAGAAATTGAGGGTCTTTAGAAAGAATTCGCTATAGGCCTCGCATTGCCTTATTCCGGCGCTCTATTAATTGTTTATTTAAGTATTAACTTAATTGCACATAATATAAAAGGTAATACATTTGGCGGACTTAACACTATGCCGCATTCTCACAGTCAACCATAGGTGTTGCAGAGAATAAATTATCGTACTGTTACGAAAAAATGTGGAAGCGTGAGGATATGTCAGTCCGTCCATACCTTTTGATGCCTCGAAGGTTTTAACACATTACCACCGGTGGGTCACTTTGTAACGAAAGTTTCACACGTTGCGACACGGGAGATCACCTGTGGGCTCTTTAATTGAAGTAAATCTAGGGGTTAAATAATGTCTACCTCAAATTATTGTACACTAATATAATATCTAAAAAGTAATATTACATAGATTATTTTTTAAATATGTTTTAGTTAATAATAAAAAGAATGCCGTTCCGGAATGAGTGAGAAATACGATTTTTCATTGCACTCTTCAACGTTAATGTTTTAATGTAACGTTAACGGTTAATATTCTTCAGCACGTATCAGGATCCAGGGCATGTTTAGCACAAATTCACTCGTTAAATACTCATTTTCACCACTCCTTTTAATTACGTTTTAGGAAAATTACGCGCGTGTCTTTCCGCAAGGTCTTTTACTGTCATGGTAGGGAAAATGGAGGGTACACAAAAAATGCCTACCTACATTTTTGAACATTTATTAGAATTAAAAATTGTTAGCAATTACGTTACGTAATGAAGCCTACGTAAATTTGTGAGTGTTCAAGATCAGTTTCAATTCACATAAAAGTTAAAGGCGTATTAGTAACAGTAAGATATTTACATTATTAATTAACTAAATGCAAGGAAAACAATGTATTATAGAACATTTACTATTTTACCATGTAGTGTTACAATCGACGCTAGGTTTTACAATGGAAACCTATATTGCAACAACGTCCATCTCGGTTCAGCTCAATTTTGAGCGAGATAGACGTTATGGAATTGTATTTTGTCCGATTTATATAAAAGATTCATAATTGTGGATACCTTATTTGCCGTCGTAACTCGAAACAATTTTACTAATAATATTTACAAATGTAATGTATTATTTAATACTGTAGTATTGATTGGTAATAAATTAATTATTACTCACTAAATTCAGTCATAACTACATATACTTAATATAGAAAACAAATAAGTACTATCGCAATGAAAACTGAATTAATCTTTTTAATTTTGTGCTCTATGTAGTAATTAGTATATATAGTAGTTAATATGTAGTAATTTTTCAAAATGAATGACGATCCCAGTCTATTATTTTACTTACTAATCAATATATAAGTATATATCTACATTATTTACACAATATACACGCTAAATAAGAGCTCAATAATAAGATTATTTTGATTAGATATTATTTTATATCATTTCACTTTATCATAGACATTTTGCTAAGTTTGTCGCAATCAATATAATTCTCACAAAGACAAACGTCTCCTCTGAATTACAAAGGTATTGGCGAAATGTGTTTTACGCGCCAATAATTAATGTTATTGTTCTTTTTATTGAATACAATTATGTTAAAATAAATTCTATGTCCGATAAAATAAGCACAGATTACCATATTAGACCCCGGTAGTTTCTGGTTCGTACTATCACAGGTAATAGAAAAAAGCGGGAACAGAAACTAAAAGGCTTTAATATGGTAATCTGTGCTTATTGCAACCTGCATGGGTTTATTTTAAACAAATTAAAACATTTGTAAATATTGTTAATTTTAAATTTTTTTCATATCAATTTGTAAAAAGGCAGTCACGCGTAAACATAATTTACCTTCCAAGAATAAGTTTATGTAGTCACATTATTTATTCACATAAATAGATCACAATAAAAACATCCTCTAAAATATTTTGCGTGGTCTAAAATATATTATATTAAGTTATCATTGACTTAATTTACGCAATCAATAACGTGTTTATGTAACCTCATTCTTGCCTCTATATTTCGATTTTTAACTAGCTAACCGCCCCGGCTCCGCACGAGTATATAAGCCGAGAAATTTAAAAAATTGTAATGCAAACGTGCCAAGTCGGAACGAGTCGCTAGTAATTTATATATCAATATAATTGATACCTCACAAATTGAACATGTATTCACTACATAGTCGCAACATGTCATGGTAAATGATCCAGAATTCATTGTAGCATTTCTACCAAATTAAAGTTCCTTTTTTAACTAATCCTGTAAATTTGTCAGCATATATTTTAAGTTTTTTTTATAACTTCAATTATAAATAGGCTAAGGGGCCACCTGTATAGATGTATAGAAAGTTGTAAGTCATCAGATATGAAAAAAAGTTGTTATATCTAGCGTTACATTAAACGAGACGCGGGCTTTACCTTTTATTCATAAGACAAACATTTTAAGGCTTTATGAGATCATGTTTTCGAGTTAATTTCTTTATTAGCAAGAATGTATCTCAAAACTGTTTAGTATATGTTTATTATTATTATTTATAAAGGTTGTGCGGTTGTAAGAATAATATTTGTTATGTTTATCACAGCCCCACTATTTTCAATTGTCCAACTAGGTACACAGTACACAATTATAGATTATTAACTAGTAAATATTAATATTATGTGCATACAATATTGTAATCTATAGAAGTCCGTCTGCATTTCTCTATCTTCAACACAAATTTAGCTAAAAAGTACAAATTATTGTACTTAAATGCAAACCAATAGGAATGTTAAGTTTATCTCATTTGTGTATTATGATCTGAAATGTGATATTAAAATCTCTTCACTGTGTATTGTTTTGTGCGCAACGGATTTGACTGTAGGCATCTAAATTATTATCCTGCAAAATGAAATTGTATTACTTTTGATTATATTTATTATTTCTATAAATCTGCTTCTTTCAATTTACCTAAAATGATACCTTAATACGACACCTACCGATTCATGGTTGAATGGTTTTTCGCTTACGTTTTGTATTGTAGCATAATGAAATAAGGCAGATATTGAATACTTTAGAAAATAGTCCACGGAAAATGTTAGGACATTTGATACGGCAGGGCGAATTTATGAAATATAATTGAGGGATATTACGAAAGCTCCTCTTTCCTAGGCGGGCAGACCAAGGCACAGATTAAAGACAAAATTGGAGTCGTGCCGTATTAACATTTAAAGAGCATGATGGAAGATCGTAGAAAGTGGCTAGAGTTCCACCGACAGGACTGTGACTCTTAAATTATAAATGAATTCACCGCAGCTGGCCTTTACAGCTTCACCTAACGCTAGGAGGCGAGTGCAGGTGGCACTCCAAACCCACGGAATGACTTATGGAGCGGCTTAAAGCCAACTCCTGCATGACGGATACACTTTAGTCTGAGGGCACCGCAAGTTCGAATTTCGTCTTAGGCAATCGTAATTACGATCCTCGTTGGAATAAGACATTTTTTTTCCGGGCTACTCTAATGATGTTGGCCGCAGCTGAACTTTACAGCTTCACCGGACGTTAGGGGGCGATTGCAGATGGCACTCCAAACCCGCGGAAGGAGTTATGGAGCGGCTGAAGGCCAACTCCTGCCTGACGGATACGACTATAGTCTGAGGGCACCACTAGGGGTTCGATCCTCGGCTCAGGCTGTCGTAATTTCGATCCCCGTTTGAATTGGACGAGGGATCGATCGGAGGGGAAAATAAGACAAGGGATCTTTTATTGGTACATGAATGCTAATCAAGTTCATCGTGAAATACATAACTTAAAATGTTTGTTTAAAACTACGCATAATTTGTTTATTAATGATTTGCTTTCGATTATAATGATTATACTTCTACGATGGTATGTCCTCACGTGATAAAAATTTATCTAATAATCGATAAACAATTATAGACAACAAAACAGTGTTAGTACAGTGTGTTATTAATACTGAGTGAGTAGACAATGTCTTGCAAATGTTCTGTAATATTAAATACCCATGCCGTAGGAAGTGTTTACGCTGGCGACATTGTGACGGGATCAGTTTTATTGGAGTTGAATAAACAACAGACATTTGAAAGTATAAAACTTATTATTTATATTAATTGTTTATCATATTTTTTATTAATGAAAGTGTGATGAAGTTTGTTGAGGGTGACTACAAAGTTATCTTGTTTATTTGTTACATCTATAATTTTACCGCCATGTGACTTGTTTAGTTGTTACTATACTGTATTGTGATCCAGTGCTTAATTACTTTTATATAATTAGACAGTGCCATCTAGTCCCAAACTAAGTAGAGCTAATGTAATGGGTACAAGACTATTGATGGAATAGGTACTTACATGCTTTCTTTTTGTACCTAAATATATAATAAACATAGAAACCACCCAGACTGATATAAACAATCATATTGATGAATTCAAATATTTGTACCGTGCGAGGAATCGAACCAGCAACCAAGAAGGGTTTATTAAGATTTCTTAAGGGTCGGCAACGCGCACGTGACACCCTTGGTGCTTCAGGCGTCCATAGGCTACGGTAACCATTTACCATCAGATGGGCCGTATGCTTGTTTGTCACCATAGTAGTATAAAAAAAAGAAAAATATCTCTACCATTTATTATTACTGTTTCGTTTGAAGGGTAATCAAGCAGAATAGAATAGAAAATCATTTATTCAAATAAACTTAATTTAAGCACTTTTGAATAGTCAACATTTTTTTCAAATCTACCGCTTATTCGGAAAGCTGTCTCATCACAAGAAGAATAAGCAAGAAACTTGTGTGTTGCTCTTTTAAACAATCTTTGTAAGTTCACATTTAACAAATCGAAACGTGTGAATACAAACTACCAACCAGTACTAATTTATTTAGGCTCAAATATAAAAACACAATAAAATTAAATCAGTCGTAGTGATAAGAGCAGACCAGTCCCTACAAGCAGCACTCTTTCACGAGTATGACAAGCCGTGAAATTAAATGTAGGCATGACATCTTAGTTCTCCGAAATGGCAACGCATAACTGGTATTACGGGACGTGACTGTGTTTATGTTAATATGCGACGGTTACCACTTGCCATCGGATGGGTAGTCAGCTATATCATTCTATATTTTACATTTTCAGAGATTGATTTCCAAGTATTCGGTTATAGCAAAGCAAAATGGTCGAGACCGAAACCAACTATGCCACACATCAAAATATATTCAGAAAAAAGAAAAGTCCTCCACATAGAGATGGACGTATTTAGCGAGATTATTGGTAAGTCTTAAATTCTATAGATTTTACTAGCTGCGTTTCGCGGTTTTACCTGGTGTTCAATTTCATAGAAGTGGGGTAGGTAATATCAGTCACCGGAACGTGCTTTTATTGTTTTTTTTTATTCACTTTTTTGTAAATTTGAGCGCGTTTGCCCGCAATCTCACCTGATGTTAAGTGATGATGCTGTCTAAGCTGGTACACGCAAGCTCATATAAGTGCCTATTCACTCTTTTTTTTTAAAGTCCTAATGTTGTAAGAGGCAAGAAACACAGACGCTGGGAGAGAGTTTGATCTGTGTTGAATATCGACGCCCTCCACCCAGTTTATATAAATCTAAAAAATACATGCTATAGCGTTACCCACATCACGTTAGTCTAATAAAATTTTCAATATATTTAAATCTACCAAAAACAAGGAACTTTTGAATGAATAAACAAAAAGAAAAATCAAACAAAGATAACAAAGATGATGCTAATAAGCCTCTCTCTTTAGGCTCCATAGTGTCATAGCTTATTTTCTTCCTCGATGATTATTCTTTATAACGAAAAAATAACTTTATGGCAATCCCTACAAATAATACCACCACTGTGGTAACAGGCGCCCGGGAGTGCCTCGGAGTGCCCGGGAGGCACTCCCGGGCGCCTGCCCGTTCGCTATAAGTAGGATATTCCTTGCAGTTAGTTAAGAAACACGCAATTTGGTCAGAATAAAGTTTTGTGTATTTTACCAAATTAAAAAGCTTGCCATAAGAGGTTAAAGGCCTCTTCACACACTATAAAGAGGCTGAGATCCTCACGCACATGCCACACCATTTAATCTACGTTTATGAAGTATCCAAATTATCAACAATTTCTATAACACACTTTTTTGTGAATTTCAGGAAAGTCAATGGATCCTGGTAGCTACAATTTTCCATTTCACTTCGCTTTACCTGACGATGTACCATCCACGTTTGCAACATCAATCGGGAAAACATTTTATTACATTAATACGCAATTTCATGGAAAATGGGGGACAAAAGAAGTTACACCGTTCATCGTCCAAAGAAATGTTAATTTAAATGAAATGGAAGAATTTTTGGTAAGTAGGTGCCTATTTAAAATTTCTGTGGCGAATAGTTTTATAGAATAAACACCATTACGTAACAGTACCATTAGGTATCTACTACATAGGTATGTATATATGTCTAAGTACCAACTTAAATCATAACTTTTATATAAATGAACAACACACAAGTTTATTGCTCGATTTTCTTGTGATGGGTCTGCATTCGAATGAGTGGTAGAAAATAAAACAATATGACTATTCAAAATTGCTTCTATTGAGTCTATTTGAATAAAGATTATTTCTATTTATGTTTTCTTCAGAAACCATCAACATACACATTTCAAAAGATATTTTGGAATTCAGGAGCGGTTACATTAACTTTCAAGACGTACAATGGATTTAGTGCAAACCAATTAGTGCCTTTCGAAATTGCTATTGAGAATGACAAAAAAGTTAAAATACGAGAAGTAAAAGTACTCCTAATACAAGTAAGTCATATATTACTTTTTCTCAACGCACTTTAGAGAAGAGTAGATCATCATCTGCTTCTTCTTTATCCCATTTATTTGGGCTCGGCGTAATATGTTTTTCTCTTCCATTCATCCCTGTTCGCAGTCATCGCGTTATTTACTTCCTTTCTTACCATATCATCTTTCACACAGTCCATCCATCTCTTTTTCGGCCTTCCTCTGCCCTTATAACCATCACCATTCATATGTAACACCTTTCTAAATATTATCCTTATTCCTACGCATTACATGTCCATACCACGATAGACGATTACTCTTCAACTTCTCTGACACCGGTGCCACTTTCATACTTCCTCTAATGTATTCATTCTTTATCTTATCCATTCTTGTCACACCACACATCCACCTTAACATTCGCATTTCAGTTGCATGCAGTCGTCATTCATCCGTCGCTTTTACGGGCCAGCACTCTGATCCATACAAGACAGCAGGCCCGATCATGGTCTTGTAAATTTTTCCCTTAAGCTTAAGGGGAAAAAAGATAGGAGTAGATATATATGGTTTTTAAGTTTACGATCAGGCTATTATGCAACTATTAGGAGTTTCTACTCACTGCAGTTCTGTCCAGGGATACCAACCGTAAAACAAAATATACATTTTAAAGAATAAGTGAAATAAAATATAATATACAGAAAATATACATACAATTATGAGATTTTTGCCCATCATCGGTGGGACGATATTTTCTTTTAGTACAATTTTGTACGAAATTTTGACGATGTACGAAGTACGAAAGTCAAAATCAGAACTTGTCTAAATACAGACTAGAGATCAGTAAGTATGGTCTTTAAGCATACCTACTATATATACAATGTAGCATACATCGTAGAAATATTTTTCTTATTATGTTAGAGACTAGAGCCAAATTGAGCAGAATTTACGACATTTTGTTTAGCTCTATTCCCAGTTGCAGAGAAAAAATAATGTTGAAGGGGCAAGATAGGGATCTTCTCTAAACACCTATACATGGTAACACAATTTCTTGTCTGGCCAATTCTCTCAACACGATGGCAATAATAATCTTATTTATTTTTTAATATTTCAGAAACGTCATTATAGTATAAAAGAAGCTTACGCGGATGAAGAGAAAGTTGTATGCAAAACTAATTACAAGATGGTACTAAGCACTACAAACTATGATAAATTTAAATTGTCTATGGATATCCCTCGCTTAACGCCTTCTAGCATAAAAGGAGCTGATCACGTTATAAATATTTCATATGTTCTAAGGGTAAGTTAGATTTGTATTGTTAAAACAATATTATGGGTGCCAGATATGGGTGTTAGGATCTCAGGGTTTTTATGGTCTGAGTTAAAGACCCTCTTATGGAAATATGTTTTATTTTGTAAAATATATAAAATTTTATGACAACCAAATTGCGTGTGTCTTAACTAACTACAAGGAACACTGTTCCTGCAGTGGTGGCATTGTTTGTATGCTTAAATCATGGATGTAACCTCCATATTTATAATAATATAAGGGCTAGAATACCAAATACACAGAAGTTGGCTACGGACGATCTAAGATAAAATTTTGTACCTTGTCACAATAAAAAATATTAGTTACGTGTATAATTTTTTGGAGTTGTCAATATAATGGCACTGTGACAAAGTGCTAATAACTGGTTGAGCTAAATTTTTAAATATAGCTCTGTTGGATATAAGGTTGAATATTTTCTTTTTATGTCTGCATATTTCCTCTAAATCCCTGATGTGAATATTTCTGAACAATCTGATATAAATATAAATACTTAGGTACATTTTTTTATGAATATATACATAATACACATAGACCTCACCCAGACCGATACAAAGAATCTTACTCATGAGTACAAATGATTGTACGGTGCGAGGAATCGAATCTGCGACCATCCACAGATAGGGAGGGCTTGTTGCTTGTAAAAAAAGATATGACAAATGGGAATTAATGGCCCCATGGCTAACGGTGTATCATTTCAGATCAACATCTACACGATTGCCCTGCAAACTAAATGTCTAAGCTAATATTAATTCCTAATGAAGTCATTACGTTGGGCAAACTGATCAAACATCATGCTCATCGTATCATTCTCCACTAGTGACCCACCAACATTTTATACTCATCCATTAAAATATCCACAGCTATATAGGTAGATTCAAAGTTAGTTGTAGATAAGTATTATTATTTACGTAAACGTATTAATGCTGTCGACCGTAGCTGACCTTTACAACTTCACCGGACTATAATTGTGGCGAGTGTAGACTCCACTCTAACGGCTAACTGACGGCCAACTCCTGTGCTTGAATTTATACAAAAATGTTTTTTTTTTCAGGTTGAAGTTATATTTTTATTTCATACGACGTTGTATGAAGACATACCAATAACACTTGCCACTGTACCTGTAATTCATTCTGATTTTGATATTTAAATACATATACTCCAAAAATGCACATATGTTGTTTTTATTTCACTTTTACTTAAAGTATTCCGTTAACCTTACTTTATATTACCTTTTGGTCTACATTCATAGTACTTAGCAATAGTATTATAGTTAAGAGTAAAATTACTGCCTATACCTACTAAATGTATGCAGTATTAATACATTTTTCTTTCTTTCTTTCTAGTAAGTATGTACTGAATGTAAAATACTGAAAGTAATGTATACATATATACATGCTATGCAACTATAAGACTCATGTTATTATTTCTGTTGAAACTCCCTGTCAAGTGTAAACGAATATAATTCCAAATATATATAATGAACACTATAATAATATGACAATAAACCTGACTAATTTTATTTCTGTAGAAATTCGTAAATTAGGAGTATATAGAGAAATGAAATTAATAATAGTTTAAAAGACGTAATAAATCCACGTGCAATACTATACAAAATACTTTATCTTAGGCATAGTTCAGAAAAAGAGACATATCTAGTCTAATTTTAACTCCTTTACCATTCAGTAAACACAATACTATATCTATGGTGGTTATACAAAAATAACATTATTATTATTATTATTTTTACAAGCATGATGAGCTGCCATTTTATATATTTTGGTATGTATTGGGTAATTTTAAGTTACAATTATCATATAACTAAATAAACTAATTAATATCTAAATAAAAAATAATATATAAATTATAAAATGTGAATGTCAACTTATTCTTTTTTAACCTGGCAACATCGCTACTTTCAAATTGTCGCCATCTAGCGTGGTTTTTTTAAAAGAAGAGTCAACAAATTCATAACTTTTACTTTAATTCTTTACTAATATTATAAATTTAATTAAAAAATTAATCTTATTATTCATTATTACAGTAATAATTTAATTTCACATATAATTTTAAGCTATTTACTACAACATTCAAGTCCTATTAAAATAAAGAAGGTGTTACGTGACAATTTCCTGTTCGATTACTTTTTTGAGAAAGCGGAAATGGTTGGTCCGCCATAATCGTTTTTCGTGTGGGTCTGTGCTTGTGTGGTTTAGGTTTCTTACCGGTGCCAATAATTATTTTTAATTAGTAGTAAGTTATGCGTATGAATCCAGACATGGACGATGATGAGAAGGGGTGAGTGTGTTATTATAAATTATTGTAAATCCTTTTGCTTTTTGTGATGTGCCAACTATAATAGGTCAAACTGCATGTTCGCTTGGTGTGTCGCATTTCACGAGTAGCCAGCGAGGCTTGTGAGGGAGCCAGACTGGCTACGTCTTAGAATCGTAGATTATACATTTTTTTTATGATTTTATGTGGTATTTTGATATATGCTGGCTTTAGCAAAGTCCGCGTATGTTCGATTAGCCTCTTGCCTTACCGGCTAGCGGCCACCGACCCCAAGCCTCGCCGTGTAACTTGCGTAGCGATCATGGCAGCTATTACTTTCCCATAACGATTAAAGTAATTTATTTTTTAGTTTTATGTTGTAGAACATTTAATCGAGCATTTGCATGCAAGTTTATGTAACTATATTAAAAAAAATGAAATTTCTGATGTGTATACGTCGCAATATGTACTGTTAACCTTTCTGGGGTTAATCTTAGCTTTCTCCTAACTTAATTTTTGTACCGCAATGTAATTCGCGTATTTTCCACGAACCATAAAAATTTGTCGAACACTCCATAATGAGGTTACTAGAGCGATGGTCGAAGTGCCGCGTAGCTTGATCTCATTTGTAAGACGCGGCCGAAACGTGCTGATTCATTTGCATATGGTTGCCTAGGTGTTCAAATCTTACATTTCGATATATGCCTACATAACCTTGTCATTTTCATTATATACCATCCGTAGTAATTGTAGTGGCGCGGTAATAACGTAAACATGGTGATTTTGGAGCGCCTTTTCCATATCTAACTATCAATATGTTATTACTATTATGTTGTTGATAAATTTTTTCATATACATTTTTTTTACTACAAATTTTGTATTACTGTATAACAGTTAGCAAATTTATCAAAATCTTGATAATTTGCCTCATAAGAGGTTGTAAAAATTATGTACTTATTCAAGGTCTGTAAGGTTCATATTTGTGTGGCAATGGTTAGATTTGCAAATCTGTAACTTGAACAAAGCTGACTAGTTCAAAGTGAATGTTACTTTCACCTTGGAAATGTGCAATTATCATTATATTTATTCACAAGTATTTCATAGTATAACTACAAGAATGTAACCTAATGGAGATAGCACATATTTTCAATAGATATTTTTAGATTCCACACAATAATTAGGTACATATTTATGTGAATCATTTTAAGGAATTTAATTATACACAAACATCCATATGTTTTTTATTTTAAATGTATTTATACATATAGAATTACATGTGCAGATTTTATTGTGCAGTTTATTTAAAACAATAATCTGGAAATATTTCATGCTCGGCACTACTATGCTTTTTCTGCAAGCTGTAGATAAATAATACACTTTCCTCCATTAGTATTTTTCATTAGGTCCAGTAATTTTGCATGTATGTATGTGTAATAATTATAATAAAATACTTGACAATTCGCATTTCGCTATTAAGTCCCGAGCTTGCAAAATTTGTGATACATGATATACTTAGAAAACAACCAGACCAATGCAACCATAATTATTAATATGGTATATAAGTATGGTAAACTATTTAGTCTGTCATGTACATATATTTTTATGTGTACATATATTATATCCTTGTTCCTTATGTCTTCATGACCTACCCAAAACTTAGGTATTCCATTAATCATTTTATTATTTGTACTTATTTTTTATTGCTTATTAATATCTATAAATCATAAAATTACATTGTAAGTACAATAAAGTACAGTTTTGTTTGTATTATTAACATTAGATACATAATGATGTAAAACATTAATTTCTTGTCCAACACTGTTTTAATAATAGAACAGTATCTAAATGTGGCTTAAAATTGTTTATTTAGTTAATTATATGATTGTGTTTATAGGCTTTTAGTTATGTTTGCATTTAGTAATGGTAATGGTAACAAATGGACAGACAGACATTTATAATAATATACTAGCTGTCCCGGCAAACATTTTTGCCATATAAATTTAATTACAAATATCATTATTAAACAAAAGGTGTTGGTGATAGGAGAGTGAAAATTTAGGGTTTTATGTAATTTTTAATGCCACATTATATAAAACAAAATATCATTTTTTCTCCAAACAATAAATGTTAGGGGTGGACAACCCTTATCTTCCCTTATCTGTAATCATTTATGATTATCAAAAATCGGAACTATGTCAATACAAAATAGCAAGAATCTTTGCTAAATCAGTAACATTGTAAGTAAACTAGGTAATTTGATGTTATCATTTTTATCACTGTAAGCAAATAGTGTTAAAGATGGTTGGCTTACAACTGTAGAATTCAAACTCAATACTTATCAATATGACCATGTAAACTTAAATTATCATACATGTATGTGATACAATTTTAGGTTAAAAAACATTATTCATTATTGAATTTACATAATTTTATTTGAAACTAGCTGTACTCGCAAATTAATCTGTGTGGAATTAAACTTTTTAACTGTTGAAAGTAGCCTAATTTAGTCCTTATTACATCAGCTACCTGCCAAAAAAAGTCCCGTCAAAATGGGTCCAGCCATTTCAGAGATTAGCTGGAACAAACAGACAGACAGTCAAAAATTGATATTTTGGTGTATGTACCGTATTTATTTTCACTTGCATGAAGTAGTAGTTAAAAATTGTTATTTCAATATTACAAACAGACACTACAATTTTATTTATATGGATAGATGTACACACACATGAGTTAACTATTGTATTAAATACAATTTATTGATTCTGTTTCTACATGTGCAAAATTGTGTATACAGAAAACTGTTTGTTGGTGGCTTATCATGGGAGACATCGCAAGAAAACTTGCAAAGATACTTCTCCCGCTATGGGGATGTCATCGACTGTGTTGTAATGAAGAACAGCGAATCAGGCCGCTCCAGGGGCTTTGGATTTGTTACCTTTGCTGAACCATCTCTAGTGAATGTGGTCCTTCAGAATGGGCCTCATCAACTTGATGGCAGGTAAGAGCTACTCTTGGATTTGCTAACTAGCCTCATCATTTGAGGAACATAAAATTTCTCATGTTTTTTAATGTATAATAACGGAATGGTACTTCTGGGACCAGTGGAGGATTAAGATGAGAAGGACTTCAGGTCAGGTATCGTGTGTGTGTCCCATAGTGACAAATTTACCAGGAATTTATCTCGATGGTTTTCAGGGGAACCGCATGGAGGTCAACCGGACAGTAGTAATCCCCCTAAATTTGTCACGTTGAATTTATGTGTATGTCTAGTATGTAATCATACTAGCTGTTCCCGCGACTTCGTCCGCGTGGAATTTGACTTTATTTTTCTAAAATAAAAGTAACCTAAGTTACTCCTTACATCAGCTACCTGCCAAAAAAGTCCTGTCAAAATCGATCCAGCCATTTCAGAGATTTGCCGGAACAAACAGACAGACAGACAAAATTTGTAAAAAATGTTATTTTAGCATATGTACCGTATTTATATTCATATGCATGTAGTAAAAAATGGTTATTTCAATATTACAAACAGACACTCGAATTTTATTTATATGTATAGATATATAGTTAATTAAACACACCCAATAGACTACAAATATCAAGATGGAAACTTGTCTGATGTTATGATAGTCTAAATATTAGTTTGTTCAATTGTCTTTCCCTATTTAATTTCTATAGACAAATTAATAGTGTTTCAATATAACAACTATAAAAATTTATCATTGCTCAAATGTATTGGACAATAAGACATGGCCCTCATTTACAGTGTGGTATTTGTAAATATAAATAAGTAGCACAGTCTCTAATGACAGTTTTTCAACTAGTTATTAATTTGTTGAAACATGTAGTGTTAAAACTACAACCAATAATAATTTACTTTGCATATCTGTATTATCCTCTTGAATTATTACAAACATTTATATTATTCTCAAATAGGAAAGAATGTGACCCAATTTTACGACTTGTATCTAAATATTGTTTAAATTTTATTGGGTCAAAGTCAGTATACATATTTATAGAATATAGTGTGATTAAAAATGGTAAGTCACTATTTTTAACACTGGCAAACTTGTCACGGTTTACAATATGTATCTTGCTGATTTTGCTGTGTTATTGTAAAACTCGTGATTTCACCATGATGGAGACTAGCTGACTTGACTTCATTATTATCCCATCATCACCGATGCCCCTCTATATACCGTTAACGCAAGTCCACCATTCTATATTCATCCATTAAAAAAAGTATATTGTTTCTAGTTTAAAAGAAAATGAACATATCATTTTTGTTTATTCAGTTGGTATCATATTCTTGTTTGTATAGGCTTTATAGAATTTGTCATAGGCATACCGTCAGCTTTTATTCGTAGTATCTACATTTTAATATATTTGTAATGGCAAACAAGATGTACGACCACTTAGTAAGTGGCAACCGTTGGCTATATACATGAAGAACAACAAGAACATCACATTATCACGTATACATCTGATGCGTTGTCATACCAGAGAACTAACATGTTATGACTCCACACTCTGAAATTTCTCTGCCAAATTTCAACCAAACACAGCTTACAAAAAAGCGGCAGATTTTGCTTAAGGAAAGAGAAAAACCCAATACATATCCTATGTGGTTGTACTCCATGCATAAACGAAATATCTTGTTTGGAAAGTACACGCTTTATTCTGAGGAGCTCATCGCTTCTAAGAATATCTTTCAATTCTAGTCCCAAATCGGCCTAAGCAGATGCCTAGGTAACCCTAAAAAAATGGCGAGCACAATAAATCTATTTAGGTCGCTGTCCTACAGGTAATGGCTGGCACAGAGTAATGGCTGAAACTCTTTATAAAAAACTATAAAAGCTGCTTTACGGCAGGCTTAAATATATAAGACTGTATATCCATGAAGCGGCTTTACTTCTGTATTGATTTAAAAAAAATGTCTTAACCAATTTGACATTATGAATATTCCTACAGAACTATTGACCCGAAGCCATGCAATCCGCGCACTCTGCAGAAGCCCAAGCGCGGCGGTGGTTACCCCAAAGTGTTCCTTGGTGGCCTACCATCTAATATCACCGAGACAGATCTTAGGGTATTCTTTGGAAGGTACGGAAAGGTCATGGAAGTCGTCATCATGTACGACCAGGAGAAGAAGAAATCCAGGGGTGAGTAATTATTGTGTTGAGTCCTTATTTTTTATTTATGTTGTGTTTTTCTTATAATTAGATTTTATGATTGAAAAAAGTTGGAAAACCGCCATTATATATAAGTACAAACTACAACATAATGACTGAAAAATTTGTTGTACTAGTAACTAAAACAGGCAGATTATTTAGTTAAATTTTGTGAATATAAACCAATATTTTGTTTCTTACTAAGTTTAACTCGGCTCATTTAGTTGATTTTTTTTCGGCTTACGCTGATTATCATATATTGACTAAATATATCGCCTGCGTAATATAAAATATGCATTAACTGAAAAAATTAAAACCTGTCTCCAAATATTAAGTTTACAGCCTAAATATAATACATTTTTTGCATTAATAAAATATAATATTAGCGTGTTTTTGTTAATAAAGTATTATATTTACGTGTGCCATATAGGAAGATGAAGGTTGATTATATAAGAAACAGTGTCGTTACTAAACTAACTTGGCTCGAAGGTATAAAAGTTATTTATTGAATACAAACGTCCTTCAATCCTAAAATACAATCCGGAAATACGATTACGCGATTTTTTTCTATACGAGTTTCACAAGGAAATGCTGAATTGAAATTTTGGTCGAAGAAGGTAATGCCTAATTTCAGGTCACAAATGATACAAAGTACAGTCAGTTAGGTCTACTACTTGGCATCTATGCTATAGACCATAGAATTAAGTCTTTATCCAGTATTTTTTTGTATTTTAAGTAACTGCCATGACAAAAGAAGCTGATGGAAAATTGGTGACCGTTCTTTATTATTATACATGAACTTCACAACATACATTCGTATGTTTGTCAAGACCTGGTATTTAAACTACTAAATCTCACTCTACGGATTGAAACACAGCTTGCAAAGCAATCTGCCGGCCGGTACAAGATGAGACAGTTGACTTCGTTGTCTCAAACTGGTCTATTTACATGCGTAGCCTTTTAATAATTACAACAACATTTAATAATAATAATCTCTCTGGACCATTCATACTGCGCCATCTAATCCCAAGCTAAGCGGAGCTTGTATTATGAGTACTAGACAACTAATACAAATACATGAATACGTTTTTATTTGTACATACATATTTTACATAAACAACACCCAGACCGATATAAATGATCAAACTCAGAATACAAACGTTTGTACCGTGCGAAGAATCGAACCCGCGACCATCGGGAGTAAGGCGGCGTGCTAAACCACTACACCACCCGATCCACCACACCGAGGCCGTGGAATTTAAAGATCAAACCGAAGCCCCTACAGCTGTGTCGATGACTCGTGTCACCGACCTTGATGACGTGTCCATGATATTGCTTTTCATAGCTTGTCATCCAATTCGATGTATTAATGTTTTCGATTACCAAATTTAATGGTTATTCCTAATTATGATAATTATTATTAAATATACCCATTAGAATTAATTACCATTACCGGAGACAGGACAGGACCGATCGTCGTGGAAATCTTTGGGGGAGGCCTTTAGTGGACGTTTTACGGGCTGTAATGATCATCATTATCATCATCATCAATGATGATGATGATCAGAGACAAGGACTCACGAGTCGCAACCACTAAACTATTATAAATAAACTAACTTGAGTACAATATCCTTGATGTAAACGTAACAATATCATATATTTAATTTTTATAGGTACATATTGCAAATCGAAAATAATTTATTATTTTTGGGTATTTTCGCTGATTATGAACGTGATTAATTTGTATTATGTAGTATTTCAAGTTCAATTAAGAACTGGCATGTGACTCATCTCCACCGAAATTCTATTACTGGAATTCAATAATTTATTATTATAAAAATATTTATTATCATATGACATTTTCGTCATTAAATCCACGTTTGTTGTAATATTTATATTTTTTTAAACGTTTCAGTTTTACTTTTCTGTTGCCAGTGTCAATTAGAAATTATTTTTAACTAGCTGTACCCTCGACGTCCACGTGGAATTTTAATTTTCTAATGTAAAATAATTTTTCTAAAATAAAAGTAGCTTAAGTTACTCCTTATTACATAAGCTACCTCCCAATAAAAGTCAAAAAAATAAAAAAATAAAAATTACGGGTGAACTACCCCTAACATTTGGGGGGATGAAAAATAGATGTTGGCCGATTCTCAGACCTATTCAATACGCTCACGAAATTTCATGAGAATCGGTCAAGCCGTTTCGGAGGAGTATGGGAACGAAAACTGTGACACGAGAATTTTATATATAAGATAAATAAAATATTTAGTTACGGTGTGAGCATCTTTCAATACTCTGCATGCATAATTATCGGTATTCGCGATTATCTTCTAAGTAGTTATAAAACTTTACGCTTCAAGTATTATTTAATGAAAGTTCGGTATTTATGGAACGATGGATACAAAATATTTTCATTGTAAAACTTAATGGTTATTCCCATAAAATGCCTATTAACATTTTCTAAACTTTACTTTGAAGGCGAGTTTATTTCTGTCTAGGGTTATGGTTAAATTTCATTGGTTATGAGAATCTTGCGTATGTACTAAATTTTAGCATCTTCAACATAGTATAAAAAAGTAGCTTACGCTGCCTGTTCGCTTAGATCTTTTAAACTACGCAACGGATTTTAATGCATTTTTTAGCAATATATATATATATATATATATATATATATAGAGTGATTCAAGAAGAAGGTTTATATATATAAAGTATATAAGCCCGTGTTGAAGCTGGGGCTTGTGTTTCTGATATATTGTGAAGTGTGACTCGTTTCTATTTTTCCCTCAATGAGTCACGTTAAACTTCACGAGCGGTTTTTTCTATAATCTTAAGTGTCAAATCATTAAGTATAGTATTCATAATATTAAGAAATGTGCATGACTCCAAATTACGTACAACACACACAATCTATATAATTACACAATATACTTACATAGATTGTGTAATTAGATTTAAAAACTCTTGGTTATATTCTCCAATATACAGCCCAACTTTACTAGTAATAACATTGAATTTGTCGTTACTGATGATTGCGAATAGGGTTGCCAATATTAAAACATTTAGCTTCGTACAAAGAAGTCGATAATTCCTTATATGGTCTCAATACGTGAAGCAAAAACTTTGCACCGCTTTTTTTACGAAAATTGTGGGGACGAGGAGTATGAACTTTCGTATATTTATAGTTTAAATTGAATAGGAATGCACAGTGCTACTATTCTTATGCATAAATAACTAAATGAATAAAAATACACACACTATTTGACAGATCCTCAAAGAAGTGTAGTCTTTGACAGTAGAACCTAATAATGTTCAATCTTATTATTTATATTAATTATAGTCGTATTTGGAATGTTGGGCGAACATTGGTTTATATAAAATCTTGTACAACATACTGTACGAGGTAGAATATATCCGCCTACTGAAGATTAAAAATTTCGTACTAGTACAAAAATTAGATTGGTTGACATCCTTGTTTGCGTACTACATAGCTATTAAGACAAATTGAGTTATAAGCTCATTTGTTAAAATTGGTAGTGCATATGAATTTTAAATTTAATTACTGCAAGGGTAAGTGTACACCCAATGTGTGGAACTCCCTACCCTCCTGGTAACCAATATAGTACCGGTTAAAAATAGTCATGTTGTTTTAATTTTGTTTTAGGTTTTGGCTTCTTATCTTTTGAAGATGAGATCTCTGTGGAGCGCGTGACGCAGGAGCATTTCATTAACCTCAATGGGAAACAGGTAAATTTGCTGTTATTTTGCATATTAAACGGTTTTTATTTAGCTTCCATTTTTTCTATATAGTCTGCAAAACGAGTTTGTATAACTTAATTTCTTAAGGTAGATCAAATTTAAATAATTTGCTCTTTACGGTTCCTTTAAGGTTATTAAGCCATCATGAGCACTCAGTTCTTGATTTGTGTTGCCAGATGATATTTAAATGTAGTACATGGATAAAAAATCAAATACTACTTTGTGGCAAATTTTAATGTTACAATTATCAATTTTCATTAAATACTTTCATAAATTGTCCCTAATTTTGTTAAAATGAGGTTTTAAATACTTAAATATCAATTCTAGACCTAATAGCATTGTTTATGATGGATCGAAATGAGTAATAGTTGATTGGTTGCTTAATTATTATACGTATTGGTTCAAAATTAACCTAGGCCACATCCAGGCAGTGCCTTCGATTTGGTGTCGATGGTACGTTCAGATGTTTGTGGTAAATCGATTTGCAGACGAGCATATACTTTTTGATCTATTTGACAAAAAGCTTACATGATTTGCGACAACTGTTTTTAACTTTAACAGTATTTTTTAAAATAATGTAATTTGTTTTAATTTCGACTAATATTTATACTCAAAATGATTTGAAATTATTTTTAATTACGTCTTATATTAACTGTGGATTTGGTATATTGTACAGTGAATTTGCTGAGTACTTTTGATATCATACGGTAATACGTTACAATCAGATGGGCCGTATACTTGCCACTATTGTGGTATAAAAAAAGAAATTTTACAATATACTTTTACAAATTAAATAATATGCTACTCAATGCATATGTGGTGGTCTTTGAGGAACTGGAATTCCATAATTGTAAATTCATTAGGAATGATGACTATACAAAAGATGTTGTGAGAAAATTAACCTAGTTGGTGAAATTTATAAATAGCATATAGCAAAGTCACTGTTTGTGTCTCAGTGTTATACCGCTTACTTGTAAACTACGTAACGGATTTTATTACGGTTTTCACTATCACATCAAGATTTTGTCTAATATATTTATATGTATAGTATATATATAGACTCGAAAGTCGCTATCTATATACATGAAAATTTGTGTTGGGACTAGATTAATGTTTTTTATGATTTGTTTTTTTGTGATAAGTATATTTCTGTATGTTTGTTTGTAATCGGTGATTTAAAATAGAAACAGAAAAAATGCTTATATTATGTTTATTTAAGAAAGATTAAATAAACATAATATAAGCATTTTTGAATAGTCATATTTCTTTTATTCTGCCACTATTGGAACGCAGCATAGGCATTGCTACTAAGTGTCAACTACAAAATAATAATATAAAATACATATATATATCATTTGAGTATAGACATCGCTAATGAGCATTATTAGTTGACAATTCGAAAATAATAATAACCTAAAAAAAAACATGTTCCACTTGAGATACTTGCCGAACAATTTTCTCAACTGAAGTAGCTTGTACAACTGTATGGTATAGGTATAATAAAAAAAAACACTTACATGCATAATATACTCAAAAATTACATTATTGTAAAATATATTTACCTATAGAAAACTACGTTATGTATTTAAAGCAGTAAGTAGAGGTAAATGATTTTTTTTTATTGATGATATGGAGGATCATTTTATATTATACTCCCCTCTTGCACTGACGGTATACTCTAGCGAGGGACCAGTGGAGGATGATTATTCAGTTCAGTTAGCTCATCTTGACCAATTGGTACATTGCTATCAACGGGGTCAACAGTCCACATCACTAACTTCCCCGAGGTAGATGGGTTATAAAATAGGATATGTCGTCAGGTGGAGATCAAGCGCGCGGAGCCCCGCGACGGGTCCGGTAAGCTGGGCGCGGGCGGCGGCGGCATGGGCGGCGGAGGCATGAGCGCGCCCGGTGAGGCCCCGCAGGCCGGCCAGTGGGGCCCGCCCGCCGCGCCCATCAACATGATCCAGGGACACAACGGACAGATGGGCGGCCCGCCCATCAACATGCCCATGGCCGGGCCCAACATCATGCAGGGGTCAGTGCACACACCTTGTCTGAACTTTGGAAAATTTTCAATTGTCGTTAGTAATGTTTGCATGTATGTTTGTCAATATTACAACATTTGGTTTCGTACGAAGAAGTCGAGAGTTTCTTATATGGACTCAAATTAGATACAATTTTTTAACAAAAGAATCTAAATCCAAATATTAAAGAAAAATTGGGTCTAATCTCAAAGTATAACCTTTCGAATGAAAAGATTTTTTTAAATAGGTTTATAGGACAGAGTTATGAAGTAACAAACATTAAAAAAAGTAGAGAAATACAGTTGAACTGAGAAACTTCATCTTTTTTTGGAGACGGTTAAAAAATATATTTAAGAAATGTCCAATTTTGAGTTATTGATTCATACTGATTTTGTCTCTAAAATCATGTATTGTGCGGACACCGCGCATATCAGTTTTCCATACAATTGATTTATGCTATACTTATCTAAAGGTGATGGTGCCCTAAATAATTTGGTTTCTTATCGGTGTAATCGGTAACGAGAAAGTTACTTTTAAAAATAACTGTATACAGGTTTATAGTCGTATTCACGACCTCGGTCGTACGTTACATTTCTAGATTTCAGACCTTTATTTTGGAATTAAATTCTGATCTATTAATACTTGTGATCGATCGTCCACATCCAGGCAGTGCCCTCGATACATTGTCGTTGGTACGTTCAGATGTTTGTGGTACACCAACTGGCAATCTAGCATATACTTTTTGATATTATTATCAGAGAGACTATAAAGTTTGCTACAAGTTATTTGTAACGTTTAATAATATTAAAAAAATATTTTTTTAGGAAATTTGTATGTAACTAACTAGTTCGCTATTTTGACGACCAACTTAAAGTTACACTTGTAGCTATCTGTGTAGGGAATTCAGGTTACACTATCCACGTATATTACTTTTTATATTTGCCTGTTTACACATTTGAATTAATCTATACAGCATACATTATAATGCGATGTCAACAGTATTACTACAGACTATTCTGAACATTATATTTATTTTATTATTATTCTACAGGATCAAATTTTTTTTTTACATAAGTTTTTACTAGGTACTTACTCTCTAAAAAGGATTATTATAATTTATTTCCTATGTGCGTGGGCAAGGGCGTGCAGTAAGCGTGTGTTCGGTTGGCAGGTACCAGGGATGGGGCACGTCCCCGGGCCAGACATCGTACGCAGGGTACGGCGCGGCGGGCGCGGGCGCGGGCCCCGGCAACTACCAGGGATGGGGCGCCCCACCCGCGCAGGCCCCGCCCCACGCGCCCGCCTGGCCCGCCACCAACAACTACACGCAGCAGCCGCCCGCGCAGGGATACGGCAGCTACGGTAAAAACACAGCACTAACTCACCCACTTACCAACACACGAGTTCATTCACTAACTTAACACACCCACACATCTGTCGCCTTTTTTGTTGCGACTTTTTGTCTCATGTATTATTTCTGTGTGTCTTGTATTCATTGGTGTTTTTTATATTTATTATTATTATTTTAACTATTATGACTATACAGAAACACAAGTCTGTCTACATATTTCACATTTTTTAAATAATTTATGAAGAAAAAATGTGATGGTGATTCAGATTCAATTTTTTATAGTATATATTGAATACTGCATTAAAAGGTACAGGTGAATTCTGGAGTCCATCATAGGTTTTCTTCTAATTTAAGTAGGATCATTAGATTATGACTATACAAACACTCTCTCCACATATTTCACATTGTCATATTTATTTATCTGGAAAAAATGTGATGGTTAACCAGGTTACATTTTTTGGAATGGTGATACTTACTAGGTGCTGTACCAACAAGTACAGGCGGAAAGAGAGTGAATTCTGGAGTCCATCATAGTTTTTCTTCTAAATTAAGTAAGATTATTAGAGTTGACAGCCGGATTGAAACAACATTGGAAGAAAATGTATGTTCTGCTTTCACTTCATGGAGCATAACTAAGCGGTGATTAAGATTTTGTTCCGTAATAAGAATTTACTTCTTACGAAAATTAGTAAGACATTTAAACGGTTCTGAATACATAACTACGATTAAATAACCTCAAAATCTGTACATATTTGTCGATAATATTGCAAAACAAAATATAGTTTGGTCTAGAATCAATCTTTGTTTCACCTACACATCAAAGGAGCTTTTGAATTATATGGTATTTTTTATATTACGCAATATTTTCCTTAACCATTGAAAGGATTTCGATCTGTCGCTTCTCGATCTTTTTGCAATTGACAGGACATCTGTGGTACTCGTATAATGTCAAGATTGGTAGATAATAGACTGATTTTATGTGGAACAAAATAAATATGTTGAATAAAATATAAAATTTATTTCTAGTCATAATGTCATGTATACACACAACGACATGTTACTTTATTTAGTTAAAATTTACATGTTACCCGTATTGGTCATTTTTCCCGCGGTTCGCCAACGAATTCGTTATCTTCCGTGGTCCGGAGTATTGAGAAACATACTTAATCTTTGTTAGACATTGTAACTTGTATACATCTATTCTTAACTTTTTATTATACTGTAATACTGACTTTAAATATGCGTTGTAAATATAAAACTAGCTATTACCTGTGACTTCGTCTGTGCGAAAAGATAGGCGTTTTGTTTTTAGTTAGTCCTTTCAGTAGTTTTGCTGTGAGAAGGTGACAAACTTACAGACAGCCACACTTTGCATATCTAATGTTACTATGGATATCTTGGGTACTATGTTGTAACAAAATTTAATGATTTCATCATTAATGTTAATTAAGTAGTCAAATATTCAATTACTTACTTTACTTTACTACTTTAAAAAAAAACATTAATTTTTGATCCGTATTGTATGCTATATCTTATTTTTGATAAGTTTTTTTATGTAGATATAATTATTTATGTATTTTTATCACTGGAATAAAATATAGGCACACTATTGAATAGCAAAAGAGACATATAACATTGTTACCAACACTATTTACCACAAATTACTGCTAAATATTAAAAAAAAAAAAAATTTTTAGCGGTTTCATATTCGCCATTGTAAATGACGTATTATTGACGTACATACGCGATAACAATTTAGATAGTGCAAAATAGTATGGGGTGGCCTAAATTTCTAGCTGGCTGACTGTACCTTATCAATAATAACTGTTTATTACAGTGATAATATTATTTGCTTACTCGTAACTGTGTTCCGGTTTCGTCTGAGATATGGCAGTGAATTTATTGGACACTGATCGTTATTTAAAGATTTAGCCCACTAATACTACTGGAACAGCCGGCTTCGCTTAGGTTTTTGTTCTTAGTTACCTTACTTTCTTTGTACATTGTTGTGACGAAAGTAAAGGTGGCATTATAGTCTTTTGGAATAATAATAATAACAATCCAAGACCTAATAATACAATAAAATAGCGTTTTTTAGTCCCAAACTAAGTAGAGCTAGTGTTATGGGTTCTAGATGACTGATATAAATACTTTTTGATATATTTTTGATGCAATTAAATGCATAAATACATGAAAACACCTAGATCAATACCAGCAGTTGTACTAATTAATACAAATACTTGCAATCATATGAGGAATCAAACCCGCTACCATCACTACATACCGAGGCGGTAATGGTATGTAATGGTAACACATAAGGTGTCTACGGGCATCATACGACGTGAGGTCTACGGTGTTCATGTATATAGGCTACGGTTGTTTCTGATCACGGGTGGATCGTCAGATTCTTTATCAATAGTGCCTAAAAATAAAATCTATTCTTATTCAGAACACTTGCAGCATATCACAGCTTTACGTTAAGAAACAAAGATCTGGTCTATTAATACTCGTGATCGATTGTCCACATCCAGGCAGTGCCCTCGATACATTGTCGTTGGTACGTTCAGATGTTTGTGGTACACCAACTGGCAATCTAGCATATACTTTTTGATATTATTATCAGAGAGACTATAAAGTTTGCTACAAATTATTCATAACGTTAATTTAAAATTAGATTTGTAGTTAATCTAGAGTTATCAATTGTTTTTTTTTCCCAATGTTTTTAGAACATGACGTAAGTTTTTGTAGTGTCCTGGGACTTCCTCCATAGGTTTAGCAGCATCCTGAGTTTATAAAGTTTAAAAATTTATGTATTATAAATATATATATAAATTATTTTATTCAAATACTTTTATTAAAAAATATGATTATTTTACGGAACACGTAATACCATTTCATCGATAATTCACGAAACACAGATATCAAGAATAAAATGAATCATTACATTACACATAATAAATTACATGTTTATACTTCCAAATAATAGTATAATAAAAAAAAAGAAATTGTTTTCTTAATAAACTAATTTCAAGTTTTAGTTATAAGTAGTATACAAGTTTACAGCTGGTCAAAAATATGTCGAAATATTTTGTATTTACACCTAGTCCATTTTATTATTTTCTCGGTGACAACTTCGCGTATATTAAAATTGAATGATTAAAGAATTCAATAGTAATTGAAGCTTTTATAAATGTCATTGAGAAAATAATATTTAAAAAACTACACTTAGAATGAAATTTTTAGCACACTCAACATAAGTCAACTATACATTTTAAAATACTGCTATGATTACCGAAAAAAAATATTATATAGTGTGGTATATTAATATATTTTAGACCAGCTTTTCTTAACCTTTAATTTTATTTGACATTTAAATTTGAGCTTTATGTTGTGACAATAGTTTCTATTATTACAGAATGTCGGATATGTCCAATTATTTCTAGGTGCCGCTGCCGAATCTTCAATATTTGTTGTCACAGGTTAAGAAACGCTGGTTAGGGCAATGGGAGATGAGATCGTATGTTAGTATTGTCCGTTAGATTCTTCTGCGATTATTCGCTCGACCAACATTTTAGCCTGGTCTCCGTACATGGATTATGACCATTCAAGACTCTAAAATTAGTTTCTTTCGTACACATGAGCAGTGTACATACTTCGAGGAATAGAGTGGAGACACTATATTGAACGCATATTATTCCATTGTGCAGCTAACTACAGCTCGGCGCCCGCAGGCGCGTCTGCTGGCGGCAGTTGGACCAACTGGAATATGCCGCAGAACTCCAACTCGACTGGCTCTGGTGAGATTTTATTTTGCCCATGTGGGATTAATCCTATCTCGGGTTAGGTCGTCAAATTACACAGGCTCTTGCGAGTTCCATTCCAAAATTTTAGGTTAGGCGGCCATCTTGTTTCGATGACGTCACACGTATTCGGTGTACGATCGTCGTGAGTATAATTTAGTCGAAATTCTCCCGGTCGATTACGGCTGTTTCAGCATCATCAATTCGCCAGGAGTATTTTTAAGTAGGCAACATTATCGCGGTCGGAACAAATTTGAATTTATAAAATTATCATTATTACATTCGTTTGGTCTTTTCGTCGCTTCACTCATTTCATCTCGTTCTAATCTAGCATCATTCACGGTGATCGCCGCGCGTCACGTTCTACAGTGCTCTTACCTTGTTTCATAAATTTTAATTAAGTTTGTGTTTAATTTTGTAATATCATTCTACATATATGTCTCAGACATATAGAATGGTTGTTCAAAATTAGTTACATTATTTTCTAATGTTAATTCATTACTTTACCTGTAATATTACGATTATGTTCGCTACACATAAATCTATCAAAACAATTAGAAATTCAAATAAAAAAGACATTGTCTATATAATTAGTATATAATTTTAAACAGTGTTTGACTGAATATGCTTGCTTGTTTTGTTAGATTTTGTTGTGACGGACAAACATCTAAATTAGCTGCCTACTAACATCACGATTTCAATCACGAATAATAAATGTAATTCTTGATTGATACTGAAGGTTACTTAACATATATTGAAAACGTGATTTTAATAGACGTCTGTAGAGAATATCATTTTAGTACCTATGATATGTGGAGTAAAGTGTCGTTAAACAAAATCTTAGTCACAAATTTGTACCATAGATGTATTAGTTAATATTTTATAAGAGTGCAATTTTTCTTTTTAAGTTTCTAATATGTATTAGTACTTTATGCAAATTCTCTATCATAATTTCATATTCTATAGTTTAGTAAGTAGTTTATAACAGGATTATTATTTATGTTTTCTACAAGAACATTTAACATACTTATTTATAGAGTTAATTAAAATTAAATTAGGCTATAAAAAGATTTATGGTGAAATATGAAAATGTAAAAGGAAAAGTTAGCGTTGCGAAATTATGTACTATGCTAGCTCGTACATACAAATACATTAGAAACCGGATATAACGACATCGGACCCCAAACACGGATGCTATAACCGGATAGTATTTAGACGTACATACGATCTGCAATTTACTCGTTATAACCGGTTTGTAGTGTATGAATGATACGAGACGAGGCCTCTGAGAGGCGTGGTGGTGCAGCGGTTGAGTGTGAGGCGCGTGGTGGTCGCAGGTTCGTACGTGCCGCTGTCGGAGGGCGGCGAGATGTACGGGCGCGGCGCGGGCGGCGGCGGCGGCGGCGGAGCGCCCGCGCTCACCGGCGGCCTCTCCTCGGCCGCGCTCTCCAAGTCCTCGTCCGCGGACTACTCCACCTACCAGCAGTACCCGCCCGCCTACCAGCAGGACCAGGTACGTGCGCCTGCACGCGAGCCCGCGCTCTACCTACCATGAAACCGACCCCAACTGATCCTTGGCCGAACACTATAGTTTTTTTTTTTAATAACTGTGGCTCGGAGTTCCGATGATTTTGGCATTTTTTTTTTATTAAGTATTATCTCTCGCTTTCTTTGTGGCTACAACCTTTTGATCAGACGCTGCTTGTATTATAAACGGTGATTGTTGACAATCTACTAAACAGTATTGCTTAGAAGTTATCATTAATCAATTATACTTGGTATAAGCACATTTAAATAGTCATATTTTTTATTCCACCATGCAATAGAAACGTAGATTTATCACAAGCAGAACGCCTAGAAACTTGCGTGTTGCTCTTAAATAAGTAAGAATGGTCCGTATGCTTCTGTGCCACATATAGTATGAAAAATATAAATTAACAATGTAATCGACATCAATAGAAATGACTGAACTATTTGTTCCTATTATATAAACTCAGTTTTCGGCCAAAAGAACAGTCCGGGTGTAACTGGGCCTATATCCTTTTGCATACGCGTACAACGGAATTTCAGATGGTTCTATCTCACTTTAGCAGTTAGATTATTTATGTCATACAAGTGATAGTCATTTGAAATTTTGTTGTATCCATATTTTTAGCTGACTTACACGCGTTGTGGTTTTATAATAATAATAATGACGATATTTCTAGTTTTGTTCAATTCAGCATTTGTAATTTATTATAATCATGAATACTGCAGTATTGGAAATCGAACTTATATTATTATTACAAGAACTAACAACGCGTTTAGGTGATGTTTGTTGCTTTTTGCGTGCATGTCTCCTGACTATTTAGGGGAAGGAATTACGGCAATTGGTAATATATTCAAAGTTAGATTTAAATATATTTAATATACAAATTGAATATATTGCCATGTCCATATATTCTTAATGTGTGGTGCGTTTGAAAGCGTCATATCCTGGTAAGGATTTGTATCCGTTTTTTAAAGTAAATATGATAATTTATTACATTTAACTCGGATAATGAAAAGAATAAACTATATAATTATTTTAATAAAATTTAATTTTGTACTGATATTTCGTATTTACTATAAAAACGGCTGGATCATATTTTATACGATTTCGAATTAGAATTGAAGATATAAGCATAAAACGGTTGTTTTCTAATTATTTAATATAAAAAGCGTTTTCAATTGTAATTTGAATAGAAATCATGCATGGGAATGGTTGTAAAGTCAAGAAAACTGGTCTTTTGAAGTTTATTAAAAAACGGTTATTTTAATTAATCCTTAAAAATATAGTCTTTTCACTTAATAGTTTAATAGTTTTATTAATATTGAAGTTATCCTCATATCCTTTTCTATTAATTTGTTGTGGATAAAATAATTCTTAGATAAATTAGATCAATTCTGTGCCTTTCTTAAATTCCCAAATGCCTTAACAGAATAGCTTAATTTGTTATCTTAATATTTGCCAAGTTCCATATTAATTATAACATCCGGTGTTGGTGAATTTCTGATTGGTTTTTATCTTATAATACGGTTTTTTTATTCACATTAACACAATTTTCGTTTCACTTAAACATTCAAAGCTTAACTTAAATGTGATCAGAATGAACGTTTGAAGCAATACCTAAATACTGTTTTATGCAGTTTCGTGTTTCAGTCGTATATAATAATGTGTTTATAATATATTAGTAAGAAGTCAAAATATGTAAAAAAAATAAGAACTAAGACATTGTACCTAATACAAATACAAATTTTAAGCAGATTTTATTTAATTTTTTTAAATTTCGTGTTTAATACACATAGCTAATCGGGTCTTAACACGAATAATTTTATGGTAAATAAAGGTATTTACGTCTCACGACATATTTATAGATTGCATTAGCCGTAGTCACGAACTAACAGCGATGTAACCTCGATTGAGAGAGGTAAATATATACTTTTATTTACCATAACATTATTTTGTTAAATTACCCCATTACCTATACAATATATTTGATTTATTATTTTCTTTTCTTAGAATGGATGATAAAATAGTTATCTTTAGAATTATTTTTTGCGTTATGATAAAATAAATTAAACAGTATGAAACACGATCTGCGTCAGTATTATAATGAGTTATGAAGCGAGATTCATTCCTTCACTATTCGGTATTGTATTTGCTGCAGTTTTGTGTGATGTTTTTGCCATGTTAGATGGAAAAAGCACTCTTAGTATCGTTATAAAGTTAATTAACATTTTCTATTTAAATTATAGTAACTTCCATCTAATATGCAATATTAATCGCAAACAATCTTATTAAATTCGAGCAATTATTAGTTTTTAATTCAATCTGTAAAAAAAATATATTGTAATTTAATTATTATTATTTTATTAAATAACTAAAAATAACAACTCATATGGGTGCGTTAATAAAAGTACAGCCAAGTTGATTAATGTAGGTTTTTATATTTTATTTGCAAAATTCCTTCAAGCTTGCTCTGTACCCATTTCCGACTCCATTTATGTATATATGTCCAGCTTATTTCTTTGGTTTTTACCCTGCATATTTGTACATAGCCTGTGTGATATTCATATATCTGAGTGCATGATTGTGAGTTAATATTCCTCCTCCTCCCGATTCGATATGTTGACCGAATGAGTTGCGAGAGCGGAAAGAGTGAATGATTCTATCTATTATCTCTTATTCAACGTAACTCAATTTGGTTGTACTTTACTGGGGTTGTTTGCGCTTCACGTATGAAAGGATCATGGTGACTGGTATCACTCCGGTGAACGAGCGAAATTCAGCGAAAACAATAGTACGCGAGCAGACAATATGTATCGCGGCTGAAATGCAGCATGAATTATATATAGAGCCATTAGTTTGCCTCCCTTGCATCTGTGTGCTGTGTTCCGATTGCTTATTATATACCATATACTCTCGGATATAACGCCCACTTCTGTGCATGTTTTCAGTGGCGAGAATCAATGTGCGATGTCTTTTTGATTTTATGAGCTATGCTGCGGTTCATTATGACGCGGCGCTCCATGATACACTAGCCGCTCCTTCGAGACATATTATAGTTGACAGTCGCACCGCTATCCATAGTGAAAAATCAAGAAGATTAGTGTTGTTATCGAGTTTCGCTGAAGGTCTCTCATCACCGCCCCACCGCCTCCCGTCCCAGATCCCTCCTCGCCTTACTCTTCATCTTGCCCTTGGGGATATTCACACGCTTTGGTCCATCTTCACGCGCTGCGCTACTTACATAAATCAGCTAAAAGATACGACATTGTGGCGAGTGGGACTTTATGTCGTGTAATTCTTCTTTTCCAGTTGGTCGATCAGGGCCCACAAGAGTGGCTTCTCCAGAAAGACAATTAGAGATAAGGGCGGGTTACGGATGAGGGGATGTCGCGAAATACTGGCAATTTTCTCACTATGGACGGTTCGGTTTATGCGACGATATTGCGCGCGATCATCAAAAAGCCATCGCATAGCACTAGATATAAGCTTTACCTTAGTATCATTCAATATTCATATTGCATTTTGTAGCCGTGCGAGATGATTCAATCGGTTTGTGTCATCTCAACACTTGTAAATTGGCATTTAAAGTACAAATTAGTAAAATTTGGATTTTCTCATATTGTTACAGGTTCATTAATAGTTAATTTAAAGGTTAAAAATAATATTAAGAGCTGTACTTTAAGTGTTCAGAGATAATTACTATTCTGTTAAATGTAACCATCGCAGAAATTAATAATTTACAAAATTGTGTTAAAATATCATGGGGGCATCACCGAATGCGGCCTCGCTCGACTAGTACATAATTCTTGCTGACATGATCCTTGTGATGTAATAAAATGTAATAATACAATGACGTCCTGGCCTCATTTCGATCCTCCATGACTCGGGACGCGCCGTAGCCGATGCCTCGGGCACACGTTCGTTGCAAACGTATCCGCGTAGCGCATCGACGCGCCCATGTCCGAAATGTGGGTGCAGTGTGACCATATCTAGCGGTTTTTTGGCAACATTGACGTATTGAATATAATATTTTGTAACATGTAAATTTTTCTTATTTCTAAATTCTGTTGATTTGTATATGCATGCATAGTGTAATGATAAACTCACCGCCGGGTTTGTTTTATTTATTTAGTTATTTTATAATATTATGTATTAATGTATGTACCGTTTTGATTGTGTTGATTTGCTTTTATTAAATTCTAAACTATATCTAATATAATGGGATCGATAATAATTGTAAAAGTCAGTAATAAAACAAAATTTATAAGAATGTAGTTAGATACGAAAGTATCGATCAAAAAAGCTTACATTTATCATGTCGATGGATGAGGAATAGTATTTGTAAAGTACAATTAAATTTTTTTTCATGCTTATTTAGAGATATAATTTTGTTTTATGGTAAATACAGTCGACAGTATTTAGATATTTTTTTAAAAAGAGTCCGTAGTAGGCCGTGGGACGTGCAGGTACGACACAGGTTAGCATATGGTGACACTGCACGGACGGGTCGGGCGCGTGTGGAGGCGTAGGTAGGGCGTAGGCCGGAGGCGTCGGCTCGGGCGCCCGGCCGGTGCCGGGTGAGCCCGGTGTAACTGTGCGCGATGGTAGGGCTCGTCGTACGGCGGCGGCGGCTCGCGCGCGTACGGCGCCGGCACCGAGTACCACGCGGGCGCGCCCGCCGCGCAGCCGCCAGGTGTGCACGCCCACCCGCACCACGCGCCCAAACACTTCAACGCCAACGAGTTTAACAAGGAGTGGCCGGCCGCATAATAGCGCCCGCACGCGCACGCGCACCCCACGCCGCCACACCGCACCGGGTTACATATGTACCCGCCGGACCGCTGCAACTACCTCGTCAAGACGCGGTACACCCGGACCGTGCTCTCGATAGCGCAGTTCGACCCGTCGCGCCGGTAGACCGGCCTCGTATATATGTAATCCTCTGTGACACCACACACGTCATAACCGCACGCCTGATGTACCGTCTGTACCGCGCACCCGCGTCGGCGAACGTTCCGTGCGCGTCGACCTCTATCTGTTCCCGGACGATTCGTTAGATTTCATGTTAATACTGAAATTCGTGGCTTAAGTTGCGCTGACGTAGCTATTGTCTATGTTTTTTCGTATTTGTGGTCGTATTCAACTTGAAATTTTTAGAGACGCTTTTGAACCGAAAGGATTCGTTCCGCTATGTTTGTATTATAGTGGTAAAGCTTTTGCGACGCTTGTGCGTGTACAAACGGTTTTCAGTCGTAATACGACACCATCGACCATTATAAAGAGACACAATCTAGGAAAACATGACATGTAATGTCTAAGGACCCATCAGTTTATTTGTAGTCGTCCCATTTTTAATAGTAAATTTATGAAGTTTTTAATACAATTTTACCACGGCACACGTTAGATATAGTGAATTTTTATATCAACGTCAATTTATTTAAACACTTAAGTAAACGAACGATATATTTAGTATTTTAAAAGAATAATTATAACATACAAACGAACGTCATATTTGACTATTAGTATGTAAAGTTAAAAATACGCAATATAGCCTTCGCAGGCGTTAAAGTCAATAAAAAACTGCATCAACACAAACCCACACGTATAAGTAAAGTAAGGACATTAATTTTAATATTAAATAAAAAATAGTATAACACTGACAATCAGTAGATTTTTTCTTGAGCTTGTTACTAATTTAATAAGATTTAAAAAATGATCCTGTTAGGATTTGCCACTTGCGGCATCGCTATCTCTGAACGCTCTTTAAGAGAGCTAATGATATTATCGGGATTATATTGATTGAATTCGGCGTTTTACAAATGCGTATTCATGATATTACTCGGCCCGAAGTTTTCGCGACCCCTCTTGGACGCTGGAGTACCCATAATTATATGTACATGCGTGTACAACTTTTTTTTATAACTTTGCTTTTAATATTCTTTTGGATGTGGGCTTCTAGTGAAGGGTTTATTTTACTTCACTCTTTCTAATTATCAATCATTTGATTTGTTTTAATTTTGTTCAAAGTTTTAAAATGATTTCTTTTAATCGTAGCTATTGTTGTTCGATGGGATCTCACTATTTCACGTAGTGTTGTATCGCTTTATAGTAGGTAGTAGTAAGACGTAAGTAAGTGGCGCGTATCGGCGCGTGGCCCGGTACTCAGTAGGACGCCGGGGCTCAGTAGAGGCGAGGGCGCAGCCCGACGGACGCTCGCGGGCCTCACATTTGACAGACACTGTTAAACAAAGCCAATTTAGGGAAAATGACCTAAAACTTAACTTAAGCTATAATAACTTGTATAAATATTTGGTATATATATCGGTATGTATGTTTAATATTAGAATTTTGGTTATACTACACACACTAGACATTAGGAAAAATGGTAGAGATGTAATGAAATAATTATGTGTTAATATTTAAACAAAACATAGTATGACTGAACGTGATTATATTTTAATTTATTCCCGTTTTTAAAAGGGGAGCAATCTGTATAAATATTCGTAATTATAATTTGTTTACTATGATATGCATTTTAGTTTTTTATCGCAATTTTAAGTTGATATTATGGAATTTATATTTTTAATGAATTAAATTTACCTGCCAAATTATGAAATGGAGCAAACGATAACGTTGTATGTGTTAAGTAAATGAAGCTCAAGCATTTAGGATATAGAAGTGGGCCGCGCCGCCGGTGCGTCCCTGCGGCCCGGCCCGAGCGCCGCACCCCCCGCGACCACCCCTGTATATATACTTGCTTGTGTGTAAAGCATAATTTTAATGGATTCTCTCGTCACCTATGTAGTTTTAAAGTTTTAATTTATGATTGCCAAATATTTTTAAAACTGTATAGAGCTTTCGACGGCCGCTGCGGCCCGTATGTTAGTCGTATCATAATGTTTACCAGCGCGGATGCGGCGCCCGCTCGCCCGCCTCCGTTACAAAGTGAGTTATAATTTAAAATAACATTGTTAGATTAAATTTAATGTTAGTCCTTTACTGTACTATATCGCTCAATGATTTGACCGATTGACTGATTAAAATTTTAGTGGTAAGCTAAGTAATTAATTGGGAGCGCTCGGGGCGAGCGCGCGGCGCCGCCGCCACATGACAGTGTTTGGATCATTATTTGTTGTAATATTATCTTAGAGTTTACGGACGTACTGATAGGCTGCCCGCCCCCGTACGGGCGGCAGTTGTTCCTTTAATTTTAAATAATTAATATGACCGCCGCCGGTGGCACGGCGCGGACGATAAGATTTGTTATAATAAATGTTTTAAATAGACAAATTGTTGATTACATTGAAGCATAATTTGAAAGTTAGAATAGGGTTATTTAAGATCGCTCCGTAAGTAAAGTATAATTTATCTATGAGGAATATTGAGGTGTATAAGCAAATTTTTATAAGTGACTCGGTCCGGGGCGAGGGGTGCGGAGTCCCAAATTTAACGGTTAAAACATAGTGAAAATGCCTTTTACATTGTGATTGTTCATATGTTACGTATATAACATTCATATTGGAAGATATCTTATAGATCTATTATATAACAGACTCGACTGAGACGCAATCAGTATGTAGGACTTGAAACTCGTACATTGTAACAATAAATGAAATAAATTGTTAACTATTCGACGTGGGTGCCTAACTGCCCATTAGGTTACGTATATAGTCGTGCCGATTAGTGCCGCTTCGTTTACTCTTCGTTCCTATGTTAGTTAGGTTAATTTGTTTCTATTCATTCCTCGGTATCGGTATCGTATTGTCTACTGTGTAGTCGTTCCTTTCGGTCGTACTAGTATTTATAATGTTCATAACGCTTACTATAATGTCCATTTGTTCATACTAACCCCCCGCTCGATCGCTCGCTGCTGTCCTATGTACTTTAGTTTCATACGGTCCTCTCTTCGGTGATAAGTTCGCATTGTCAATTCCATCATTCGGTTTTAATTGTTACTTACTGTAGGTTTAATGTGTACAACCACCGATGTAACGATGAAATTGTTCACCCCTGTTTTAATATTAGGAAATGATGCCTTAACAAGTGTTAAGTGGATGTATAAACAATTTTATATTATGTTAATTTCAGTGATATTGATTAGCCCTAAGATGTTAAGATAATGGGACTCGGGCCCCGCACTCACAAACCTTTGGAACAATTAAGAACTTAGTTTGTAATGAATCAACATGGCAATCTTATATTTAACATAAAGAGTATAATTTATTTAAATAAAATTATGGTATGTATTAGAAATTTTAGATTTACTCAAACATTAAACTTAGTGCAAATTATTGTGAAAATCAATTGATGAGACTATTTATATGGGTTTTAATTATTATTATATAGGAGAAAACATAAAATATTGGATGAATTTATTAATTAAAAATAGTTAGCAAAATACAAATACGGTAAGACTCTTTAGAGGCTGGTCTGTCAAATGGCGACATCGCGCGGGCGTGCGACGCGCGCGCTCTGCGTCTCTACTGCGACAACAAAACAACAAACAACAAACAACAAACAACTCGTACTCAGGTGGCCACTCACGGCCCGCTACCAATATATACACAACATGCCGCCACGGTGCGTGCGCACGCATCCGTACGCAACCGTACGCGACCGTACGCACTCGGAATATAGACACATACACAAACACACCACGATTTATAATTATGTAGACAGTGTACGTTGAATAAAATTATGTGTGAAAATATTAAAAGTATTTTGTACAAACCGTGAGTGAACACAACACTTGCAACATTTTGCATTTTAATATTACACTGAGTAATATCGACATAAGATATGATATACTGTATCTTAATATTAATATTAATGTTTATGGAATAATATATTTAAATCATGGCTTATAACAGTAGTACTGTTGTGTAGTTAACCCTTCAAGTCTTGTTTGTATTACTTTATATTATAGTGTACGCGGTTTTTATATGTGTATGTTTATTCAGTAGATATATTATAATGAAACCATGTTTGTGTAAAAGTGTATTTTGGTATTATTATAAAGTAACTTAGCCGCACATAGCACGGCTCGGAGGCGGCCGCCGCTAGCTGGCCGCCCGCCCGCCGAGCGGTACATTAATACATTTATTATCGTAATTGACTAATTATACAAGACCCCTAGTAATAGTTAGTATAGCACCAACTCTTATTAAGTTCACCTTGGACTCGTCTTAGTAAATTTTAATAAAATATAATAATTTGCATTTAGAGTGTGTTGTCCGCCGACTGTTTTTAATTGTAGTCAACACGGCTGACATTAAAAACAATGCAGGTATTATTAATTATAAAAAAAAACCTCATATTTATACTAGAATTTAATATAAATGTAATTATTGAATCCATTTTATGATAAAATTGCACAGGCTTTACATTTAATTAACATTAATTATTATAAAACATAGGGCAAGTTGTTGTTATTATTTCTGTTTTAATTAAAAAAAATTGATGTTAATTATTTTTTAAACTATATTTTTTTATAGTGGATTAAAGTACATAATTCTCGATCTATAATAGATTACAAAATTGTTAGGTGAACTATCGACTGATGTACAATATTTAAAGTAATGTTTACTCATGGCAGTATATAAGTTTACTTACGCCGCCCATGTAGCGGGCAGCTGTATTTATACAAACATGTGTATTAATTTCATATAATGTAAT